TTTGAAGTTTGCCTCGTTATGCTCCGAACCACCGATTTCGTGACACAGTTTGTGGTGGTTTTGTGAGTTTCTGATAACAATAAATTCATCGGTATTTACGGTGGTCTCTTTGCGTTTTACATATCGAAGAAAGACGGAGGTGGATCATGGGGGGGGTGTGACCATATATATATATATATATACACATGTATCTTATATATGCATGCATATATATATATATACACAGTATATTATATACATGTTTGTTTATACAATGAACATCCCAGCGAGTGCAATGGGTGCTGGCTCGAGTGGTGCGATTGTAAAGTTATTTAGGGTGTGACAGCCATTGAGTCACATGGAGGCACACCGAAGCACGATAACCTTGCAAAGGGAAAGGTTGGCAACGCTTGCGTAGAGACACTCCAGGCCGCAAACGGCCATGTTAGTAAGAGTGCATAAGGTCTTGCAACATCCAGGGCCATGACGACAGGGAGCTGACATATCTACACAGAACGAATTGCTAGACTGGCTGCGCGACGGCAGCAATGAAAAAACAAGTTGCATCTGTAAGCCGGAAAACCGGCCGTGATCCTGTCTGCCCCAGCTGTATGCCACATGTACCAGCATTTGTTGCCCCTACTTAGCAAGGACGAGCTCGCAGTGTGACGTCGTGGGCTGCTCTGAATTAGGCTTCCGCGTTACGAGCATGCAAGAACTCTGGACACCCAAAGTTTGCAAAACCCTGCGAATGAGGGATTTGCGGCTCTCGCGCAGCAAGGCTTCTGCCGTCTGGGAGCGCTTCGGGCTCCATGCTCAAGATCCAGGATGTCAGCCGTCAGCGAACCATACGCTTTGCTCTCTTTACTGGCGGGGTACATATATATATATATATATATACAGTATACATATTTGTAATTGCTCCTGTCTCTAAGGGTTCGACTTGAGTGCTTCAGGGTGCCTTAGATTCATTTATTGGGAAGTCTTTCTATACTGTCTGCTATGCTGCAAACCACGATGTAGTGTTCGGGGCGGCGAACCAGACTACCAGCTTCCAGGGCTTCTGACCATCCAGCATGTTGTTCTTGGGGGCTGTTGACTTCCAGGTGCTTCGGGTTAGTGGTCTGGGTCTCGACACACCTGTCGAGTCGAACTGAGAGCAGAGGGCTGGACGTATCCTTCTCTGCATGCATCTGATCAATATTACGAGCTGTTCCTCTTGGCAGGGTCTGAGCCAGAACGATGTTGCCGCAAGGGAAACGCGCTGGCGCACACAGCACTAACTACAGGCTCATCTCTGAGGCATGCTTGACGCTGTAGGTTGTGAGGACCACCGAAGAGGTGGAGAGAGGCAGGTTCTCAAAACCACGTCGTGGGACTTAGTTCATGGGAAAGCCAACGTGACGTTTTGATATGCGCCTGTGTCCTAAGATGCCTTGGCTTCCTTAGACACGACGGGCGGTAGGTTAAATATTGTAATCATATGCGAGACTCCAAGAACGCCCACGAACTCGCTGCCCTTTGCCTCCACTTCGACGCAAGGATGCGGATACACAGAACCTTAGTGCTGCTATTCTGATCCTGCCTTTCAGTTTGGTGCAACACGGATACACATGTCGACGTCTAGAACCTACTAGAATAGAGGCAGGACCTTTACTATGTCACTCATGCAGGTGTAAGTTTAGGCCCCTGCATATGAACTCATAGGGGAATGGTGGCGAACAGAACATGCGGCCATGCGGGCATACGGAAGCAAACGCGCGCTCGCCGGATGCACACGCCGTGGGCGCACGAACGGAAGTGCGGGGGGTCCCTCTGCACGCCATCGTTCACGTCGAGCAAACGTGTTACACATCACGCGCCCCATCGCGCGTCGGTCGCGCAGCGAGGACTTGCCAGCTCGTGCGCCTGTACGTATTGCAAGTACGAAATACATTTGCATAGCTCAATTTGAATATGCAGCTAGACAGCCCCTGGCGGACAACAGAATCGAGAAGAGTGAACTGATACAAATTATGCCAGCATCTATGCCAAGAATCCGTCTTGTGCTGTTGTCAGCTGGCAGCCCGCACCCTGATGCAGCATGTCGAAGCAGCTGTCGCCAAAGAGTTCGATGAAGCTGACCTGTGCGATCATGCATCCTTCCTGGATTCGCCTATCTATGCATCCTCGCTATATCTATCCCTAAGTCCGAATCTGTGCGCGCCGGGACTCGGTGACGGTACGCCCGGCTGCCCCTGCGAAGATATCCTCTGCAGCCTGCTGGTAAATTGAACCTGCATGAGCAGTGGAGACACTGGTCCCGATTCTTGCTGCAGCACTGGTACTGGTAAGACTCGCTAAGCCACCCTTTGTAAGGCACGGGCGCATGGTGTATGTCTTTCCACTGCCTGTCTGCCCGTACCTTGCAGTCTTCAACTTGGGTCCAGTAGCACCAACCGCAACAGCAACAACAACCACAACAAACATTGTCGCCACCATTCGCCACCCAACCACAGAACGCACACGCAACAGCAACGCGTGTAATTTACCGTGTAATGCAACACTGGTATAGCAACTGAATCGTGTACCTGGAGCTCTTCGGATGGCTTGTGGCTGGAATCACTGGCAGGAGCACATCATGACCGTGCCGTTCTGGCCCTCCAATGCCGCCTCAACGATGGCCTGTCAGCGAATAGTCCGGTCATGAATGGTAGGACGCTCTGATTGAGAAATCCAAGAATTGTACTCAGGTGTCTCTTGATCTTGGTCCGAAAGTGCTTGCAGCACGCGCCTTGGCGGTGCCTTCGTACACCGTTCGATTATCCGCGGCCTGACCGGGCCGTCGTCGATGTTTTAGCAAGTGCCGGGAGGCTATCAAAGCCACCTGTAATCTGACCCTGTGCGAGCCCTGGAATGGCAGACCAAGCACGACAAACTGCATAGTCATCCTGAGCCCCGGCAAGTTCAACGCTTTCAGGGCCGCAATGATGCACAGACTTCGTTGCGAATTCCCGAAAACCCACATCTGGCCTCGTCAAAAGCTTCATCATAATCGAAGTCATGGTGATTCATGTACCTCGGGACAGAATCCCAGCACTTCTAGATGCTGTGCAGGCTTTCAGCCCTAGCTCTGAAGCCCATAGCATGCATCAGCCGATCTTCAAACAGAGCAGGAGTCGGAGTGCAAACGGTTGCAGAAGCAACCGAAGCAGAGGCAGACAGGGCGCAGCTTGACCATGTCCGGATGCATTCGTGCGTCCTTAACAAAGCTTGTATGACGGCGAAGTGTTTGCTTCAAAGCCAGGCTACATCCCGGGTCGGGCCATGGTCATTCTTGATTGGTTCCCGTCAAGAACACACAAATTTCACCAATGCCTCAGCATGCGAGCAAGGATCATGCACGACGACACGTCCAGGATCTAGGCAGGTGATGGCATCAAACTCACCTTGCCAAAAAAGATGGTGGACTGCTCGTGACTGGTCCGAGATGAAAATTCATGCTCACCCACGATAGGCCCAATCTCGCTCCAAATGCTCAGCGAACAAGATGGACTGCTGCGGCTGCCAGGGAGCGAATGCCTTTCTCAGGTCAACGTCGTATGCTTGTCTTCATGGTTCTTGTACAAGTCTTGTACAAATTGTCTCTGAGACACATTCGACTTCTGCGAGTCGAGTCGAAACCTAATTTTGCGTGCTTGTGCCGAAAGCGTACAGGGGAAGGAATAACCAGATTCGATGAATCTTTTCGAGTGTTTCACTGACTTGAATACCTACCGGTCGACAACCGCCTATGCACACAGAACGGGACATGAGGAGTTTCAAACATTTCCAATTGGCAGGGCAGGTTGACCACCCTGTCTGCCGGCAGGCCCCAGAAACTCAGCTTGGCAGCACAGATTTCAGGCACCTTGTTCTATCTCGTGTGAGAAGATCGGCCTCTTCCGGACCTTGGTTGACAAGCTGATTTCCGAGAGCCCTCGATGCAGAACAAAGAAGCAGGCCCAAAGCTCTAGACCAAACAGTCATCAAGTGGTACCTGTTGAATCCTGTTGATAGCTGCAACTGAGAAGGACTCACCAGCGATACTTGGAGTAGACCATGGCCAAGACACGCAAACGCGGATGCCGCGGGCTACTTCAGATCCACCGCAGCGTGGTGGTGCTTGGAAAGGCGCCTGCATGGTAGGTTTGGGGTTCAGACACAGGAACGGAAACTTTGCAGGGTCCGCTGTGCACTGCACACCGGACTCAAAACCTTGTCTGCATGCGCTGTGGTAGAATAGTGAATCTTCCAGGCGAGGCCAGGCTACCAGCTGACTCCATGGTTGCAAGCTGTCCTCATCATGCCCAAAACCCGACCCCACGCGCGAACCTACACAATACGAGTTAGAACGCGAAGTCTCATGCCCGCGCCTGTCGGAAACGCTGTGCTGCTGCCTGCCCGATGACACTTCAGGACCAGACTTATCCAACCGCCGCGATCTACCAAAGCATGAAACTCACTGGCTGCGTCGTGTGCCTGATATGTGCCTGATATCACCGAAGCATTGACTCACTTTAGACCTCAACCTACCGTGTTTGTGGAACCTTCCAAAACCAATGAGCCTCGAAAATGGCACGGTGCTCCCGCCGCGAGGTCCTCAGCTGTCCGACTCATGATGTCGAGGTCTCCTAGGGCCCGTGGGTGGTTGATCCTGCAGCAACCGCCCAGCAGGACTCCAAACAATTTAATACCTAGCATCTACAGTAGAAGCCACGAGGCTCGTGTCAGCTGTGGCTTTAAAATTGAATGTGCCGCCGAAGCGTCCGCTTGTCTGCATTGCGCACTAGTGGCCCCGACTGTTCATTGCCCATCGGTGAGACAGTGCCCGACACGAAAGTCTTGGGAATGGCTCTATAGAAGCTTTCGGGTGAGGGCCAATTGCCCGAGAGCGACCCCTCAGCTCAGTGTTGGAAGTACCGAGGTCCTTATATTGGTCAGGACTGAGAAATAATTGCCAAGAGTCTCAGTGCTGTGGGACTACGGCTACGCCCGCTACATTCTGCTTCTGTCGCGGTCTATGTCTAGTCTTGACATGTCTTGACTGCGCGTACATGAGGCAGCTGTTATAGTCCGCTGTGCTGCTCCATCTCATCTTCTCAGTTCGCGGAGAACGGAGTGAGCGGAGCCAATTTTTTGCGGCCAGACGTAAAGCGTCCATGCCATGTTCGCATGGGTAAACCTGAAGGATGCTTGAACCCAAAAAGTGTCGCCTCTGCACATGTTCCTGCATCTGCCCTAGCCTATAGCTGTCGGAAGAAGGCAGTCAACACTGCCGCTGAAAGGGCGCATCAGGCTTCTGCTCCCGGCTTCCCGTGCTTTCGAGCGGTTACTGAGGTTATACAGGTTGCTGCTTGTGCTTGCTGCTCTCATGTGCACGTTGCTGCAAGGACTGGGCCGAGGGATGATCTCCACCAACCACAGATGTGCTGAGGCTGACGGCCAGCTGACGGCTGACCCCTCTGGATTCGAAACCCTTAGACCAGTCGTGCCAAGGCAAGGTCATCGTCCGCACATGTTCCGCCCAGCTCTTCGACACGCTAGAGTCGCATTCGCTTCGGATCGAGGTCCATTAGCTCCCGCAGCTTGCGATGTCCCACTCCCGGTCATTTTCCACTGGCAAGGCTAAACGGACGACCTTTCGGGTCCGGCTTGCGTGCTGTCCATTCCTGCGAGAACTTGCACATCTGTCGTGACAACACCAACTGAATCTTGTCTTCCACACAGTCCGAATATCATCGTGATCATGACCGGCCAAATTGTCCAGAAAAAGGGTGCCTCATCTGCCTGGTCTGAGCTGTGGCTAACTCCTGACACGTCTGCCAGGCCCTTGCAAGCACTTTTATCAAAGTGAGCTCTGGTTCTGTCCTGCTCAGCTGGCCAAGCCGAATTCCCAAGGAGTGTGGAAATGACACTAATTTAATTCCCAGCCTATAAAGGCTGTGTCTGGATAGCAAAGGAAGCGGTGTCTAGGGGTCTATAAGTCCACAAAGCAATCGAGCGTTGTCATGAGTTCAGTCATTGGCAGTAGCAACCTGAAGCACTTAACAGAACCGTCTTTTCACTTCAGAACTAGTCCGAAGTGCTCGGCAAGGCCAAGCTCTACGGTGTCAGGCGCTTTGGATCACGAGGGAACCTTGCGGGCTGGCAGCAAATGCTTTGACGTGCTTTCAAGCATCTTCACTCATAGACTCATCGCGCATATATATATATATATATATGTGTGTGTGTGTATATATATATATATATCTCTCTCTCTCTCTCTCTCTCTCTTCTCTATACAAGCACAGGAGTCCATGTGTGTGACTCAATCATGTGTGCGCGCAGGTTCTGGTCCTCATCCCTGAGGCCGAGGGGCATGGAGACCTTCCGGATGTTGTTGAGATTCAAGAAGAGCCTGGCTTCACGTTCAGCGGACTGTCGCATTTCCCATGACTCCCCTAGTCTCCCCACATAGTCTTCCCGCGGTTTCCCTTGCCAACCATGATATGCAAGGGATCGGCCAGCCTTCCAATCAGAGTTCATTGAAGCCAGGCAAGAAGTGTCAAATGTGCCTTTGATTCGATGATTCTGGTGTCGGCAGCGCAACGTGAGGAAACGGATCCAAGGCACCCCGGCCTTCAGCAGCCGGCACGCAGCATGGCAGCAAGGTTCTCTTTCTCTCAAAACAAGCCTGGATGGCATGAGGACGCGCTCCATGCCAATGCCGGCGCCAGCATGTGGATAGGAGCCATACTTGAAGGCATCGATGTACGACCTGACGATCTGCTTCTCTCAGGCATACAATTGAACACGAACACTCGAGGCTGGCAACGATTGTATCAGCCGCATAGCTGCAGTAGTGACAAAGGCCCTTCGGGCTCCGTTTGACAATTCTGTGAACTAGCTGGCCAGCTGGGCGTCAGGGCCTGGATCCCTCGTCGAGCTGCAAGCAACTTTCAAAACACGCTAGCCAGGGGAAGCAGATCCTGCCTGCACGTGCTGGCCATGCAAATCTGTCGACGCAAGCTCAGCCGAACTTAGGGTGGCACTGTATGGATGCTGGAGGCACCTGGAAGCTTCTTCTCACCGGCTGCTTGAACTGATGGTTTCGTGGAACTTCATCCGACAAATAGAAAAACCAACCCAGCTGCGAAGTTCTGCCAGAGTTTATGCCTTATGCGCAAGGGAGGTCTCGCAATCGGAGTTGAATAAGGGTCTGCCCATGGCCTTTCCCAAGATACGAGACCCGGGGCCCGCACGCCCCAAGCTTCAGCTTTCTTGGTGAGCATCTTTGGGTCATGGATTCGCTGTGCCTCTCAGCCGCCCCAACTCTTGAACTTGTATTCCCCTGTTTACATCTACTTGCCCTGCTGTGAGCGCCAAGGAGAATTCGAAGGGATGGGGAGGGAAGGGATTTGGTTGGGCTTCTGCATTTTTTGGGCCGAAGTCTCGTGGACTTGCCATCCTACATTCAGACTTGCCGGGGCGAAAGATGTCCGACCTACAGTATGTCTCTTACGTTGGCTGGCGGGTGTTCGCATGGAACGCGGGGGAAACAACAACAGCAGCAACAAGAAGAAGAAGAACAACAACACCAACACAAACACCAGCACCGGCACCGGCACCAGCAGCAGCACCAGCAGTAACACCAGCACCAGCACCAACCAACCACCACCACCACAACAAAAACCATAAACAAAACCAAAACCAAAACCACCACCACCACCACCACCACCACCACCAACAACAACAACAACAACAACAACACCAACTCCAACACCAACACCAACACCAGCACCAACAAAACAACCACCACCAGCACTACCAGCACCACCAGCACCACCAGCAGCACAACCAGCACCAGCACCAGCACCACCACCAACAACACCAGCACCAGCACCAGCACCAGCACCAGCACCAGCACCAGCACCAGCACCCAGCACCCGCACCCCGCACCCCGCACCCCGCACGCACCCCGCACCCCGCACCCCGCAC